GAGAATTTATACTAGACGATAAAGTTGCAATGTGGCCATTAAATTAAGTGATTCTACGTCCCATCCACTTTGCCTTAATATCACTTGGTTGGAAGTAGTCGAGAGGATATACTGGACACATGTTTCGTGCTCGTTGACGCTTGTCAGCAAGATATTTCTGGAAATCTAGAGCAAACTTATGCTTCTCGGTGGAATCGAGAGAGGAGATCTTACTCATGTAAAATTCTATATTTATCAAATAATCCAACGAATCGTATAATTTATTTAATTTTATATATTTTTTGTTGTATATTGTTTTACAGATGTAGCACTCAGTATTTGGGAACAAAAAGGAACTGGGTTATTCTCATTAAATAAAGAAAATGCATTATTACGATTTCTATTGGAAACTCCAAACGCTATTGATATTGAATTGGATTCTAGACGTCAGTTAGATAGTCAATTAAAATATACTTGTGAACTACTTATTGAACAACAAGTTTTACAATTAACCGGCGAAATGTCAAATTTTCTTAAACGGGTCTGTAATATTGGATTATTGTTATTATTACTAATTTTGTATTACTGTGACGTCACGTTAATTTTTTTTCAATTTCGGGAAAAACACCACATACACATCAGTAATTTCATACAACTTGATCTTTTGATAAATTCAAAGCACGAATAATAAGATTTGCAGAATAAAATGAATCCATTCCATTTCACTGCTTCTCATCAGATACAAGCAGTTTAAGGTTACAAAAATTAGAATTAAAGGGTTAGTATACTTTGATTAGTGAAATTGATACCTGGTTCTTTGAAATAGATCCGAAAATCATAATAAATCTATAAAACAATACAATATACAGCATTCAACAACGATATCATCCAACTTGAAATGGTTTGAATTATCCCATTGTTGATGATATTTTTGGTTGAAATTCAATCAGTCTTGGTTGGCATATCTGCATCCTGTCCAGATTACTTCAATATACCTATTACGACACAAGTTGATATAAAATAGATGGAATATAGCTAGAAGTAGAATCCTGGACGCACGTTTTGTCCTGGAATATAGGCACATTCAACTGACTGTTCCCAAATAGGACGAAACACTTGTCATGGATCCCACTGCTAATCACATTCTATCTATTCAATGTCAAGGATAACACTGATGAGTATTTATATGTCGCGAAAAAAAAGATAACAACTAATTAAGTAATAAAGTAGGCGCAGTTACGGAAAATAACAATAGAATGTAATCAGGGATTATATAGTCATAATAGAAATAATGGGCAACAACATAATTGATTAGCATAGTAAAAGTCAAGGTTAAGTTAATTTGGGAGCATCAATAAGATTGTGTAATAAGTAAAATTATTTGATTACAGTTCTCTATACCATGATAACAAGAGGTTTATCATAATTTCCTTCTGTACATTGAGGTTAGATTTCGAAATCTTTCATGAAGATTACATATACGTATACATGTAAATTCAGAAACGCAACTGAAGGCGATGTTATATGGTTCACTTTTGAATGGTTTAGTGAGGATTTAGTTTTGTGTAATGAAATCAATTAAGCCTTAGGAAAACTCTGTTTTATAGCTGCATCAATTTCGGCTGGAACCTCACCCCCCCCCTAATGCAAGACGGATAAATATAGGCTATTTGGTAACTATTAATTGTTTACAATCGTTTAGCATATAATTTCCGATATTTCATAACAAATTTCCGAAGGTATATATTTTCTATTACACTCTTTTTGAACTGCTTATCGTATTCATGTTTTATTGCAAACTTGATGTTTTCATAAGGATTGTTGAAATTACAGAGCATATACAAAGCATATTATCACAGCTAATAAAAATATTATCGACATACCGGGAATTGAGTTCAGACCCAACAACCAGTTATACAAACAAACCTATGAAACTGTCATAGGATCATCACTATGAACTGCCTTGACCGAGTTCTGTTTAATCAAAATTTTTCCATTGTTATATGTAGTAATGTGTGGATAAGTGATGTAACTTCTCTTTTTTGAAGAACCCCAGAAATATGTTTTTCAGTGTATTTGCTTGAAATATATCAAATAAATGACTAAATAGTTTGAAAATTATCCAGCGCATTATGCTATTTCATGGTTTCGATTGACTCCTACTAAACAAATGGTCTAATAGATGAATAATTTAAATCGAGAGATAGAATTTAACTTTAACTTAAACCTAGATATTGTGACTTATGTCACTGCTACTATCCACTGACGGACTTTTGTCTGCACTCTAGTTGGCTCAAACATGCGGTAGTTACTTTTCTTTATTGGGTCACCAAATTCTGTAAAATCATTTCCTCATCTCATAGAACATTCTGTGAATAATTTCCGAATTTTTTCTATGACAATTTTTAGGCTCATTCAATCCTAGCCGCTCCAGGTGCACGTCTTGCTGACCAACCGTTCGCAAATCCATCATACATAAAGGAAATAGTTTCGAATGCGCACCGATCACTGTGTATAGCACTTGGTCGTAGTTCTATTTCAAATCGTCCTGATACAGTAAAACACCATACTGTGCCAAATTTACGAAACTGTCTACATATTTATCTAGCTAATCCAGATACAGAAAATATCTTATTACGTCGTATTCAATCAGGTATTATATCACAATGGAGATCCATGTATCAATTGGTAACTGATCATTATAATGATGAGGATCGTATAATAATCGGTTGTCCAACAGAAAGTCAAGTAAATCATTCTTTTATTTAAATTTCTAGCGAACTAACATGCCAGTTGTATAGGAAAAATAGCATTATTATTGAATCGATCTATATATTTGTACTGTTTAGCTGAATTTTATGTGAGTTAGACTTTCTCAATATACCATCTAAATGTTCTGTTCTGATATAACTTCCTCCTTTCGAAACTCAATAACTTGACTCAAAGTCTACATTAAACTGAAAGTTCTTAGTCACAGTAGCTTGTTTGTCCATTACAAATCTAGGTAAAAATCCATTAGAATAAGGGTTAGTACGATGTGATTTGGATACTGAAAATAAAGCCTCAACATTGTAACCTAGCGGTTCAAAGTTGGATCTTCTAAAAATTAAGTCACTATTTAACTTTGTTTATTTGAATAAACTGAAAAGTTAACAGATGTGGGCTAGTTTACATTCTTGTGAACAGATGAAGCTTAATGATTGTTGAATAATATCTAGATCGGTAATTTGATTTTTTAGAAAACCTACTGAAAACAGTGACATTACTCGCAGCTATTTATAATTATGTTTTTTCTGTGAACACGAAGGTAGTTAAATTGTCAATACCCTTAACTGTGCAGTTTATAATTCTTAGCGAGTGCACTAAAAAAGTTAAGGATTAATTGTACACTTCAATGTAACGTTTTGTCATCTTGTGCAACCTTCACTATACACAACACACTTATGCACTTTTAGTAATGATAGCATAAAATACTACTTATTTTCAGTATAGAATTGTGGAGATTGTTGAGTTTTAATTGAGATCGTGAACCTCCTCAGCAGGATGAAACGGTCGTATAGTGCTTCCATGTTTTTAATGGTGGTCTAAAATTAATCAATTCATGATCTCAATTACTATTTGTTTGTGTTCACGAATAAAAAAATACCCTCTTAATATAATGAATTACATTATTATCGTCTTAAAGGAATGTAGTTATCCAATTTACCTTATATTGATAATCCTATTTATTTATTAAACTCAATTACTTTCGTAGTTTTAATTAATTATTGATGTAATTTCATATACAAGTCTCTTGAAGTCAGTTACTAGTGAGCAGATGATTATTATCAGAAGGGGTTTGTGGAAATTTTAGAAATTTCACAGATTGAAATCATGAGTCAATTGAAGCTAGACCACCATGGAAAACCTGGACGCACTGGACGGCCGTTTTGTCCTAGTATGAGACTCCTCTGCAGTGCGCATCCACAATCCCGCACCCCGCGAAATTTGAACCCTATATATATATATATATATATATATTTAAAAATATGAAAAAAAGGTAATGATTTTCTTTCAACAATTCTGTTATTCTCTTATATAGATTCGACTTATATTTCAAGATATTTGGAATCGTCCAGTTCTTTCATCATAAACTAACTCTTTTTTTCATGTGTGTATACAGTTTAATTTTTTTTTAACTTCACTTGGTAGTTCATTATTTTTCTTTTATAAAAATATGTAAAATAAATATATTTTTTTATAATTCAATCATTTTATTTCTGAACGATAACAATTATATTAAAAATACATGTCTATAGAAATAAGAATAATTTTATGTTATAGAGTGATGTGAATAGAATAAATCAATTACTATTATTACTGATATTGATTTGAGAATGGAAAACGCTGGTCGGCGGCCTATGCTCCATTGGGAGTAACAGGCGTAAGTAAGTGATTTGAAAAAGACGTGATGGTATTTATGATCACATTTTTCTGTTTGTTTTGCTCTCTCTCTCTCTGCCTCACTATTTTTCAAAATAAATCTCAGCAGAACCATTATTAATAGACTGAAGTTGGTCTTCTATCATATATTGTCATTGTTATCATTATTATGAGTTTATATGTAGATAAAGGAAAAATATATTACTTGTCATGGTTTATGATAATTGGGTAATTTACTTAAAGAATAGTTCCTTCTTTAATTGATTTCTGAAACACAATGTACAATATTGACTATTGTTGAAAGGAAGAAGGTGAAAAAACAAACAATTTCTTAACTTTTAATTTTAAGACAAAAGTTACTTTTATGTCAATGAAATAAATAAAATATGTATTTATTAACATTATGATTCGTTAGTTGTATCCATTTGTCTTCTACTATCATAATGCGTAATAGTAATAATATTATTACCCAGTTTAACATTGAAACATTTTTTTTAGAATGTAATAGTGAATTTTGTGTTAAATAATAGAGATATTGTCTAACTGAATAATGTAAAGTAATATTGGAAAATAAAACTTTTTTTTATCGAGAAAACAAAAGAACTATTAAAATTGTTCATTAAATTTATGTCGCTTTGTCATCTACATCAGAACAATATAAACATCAATGGTAAACAGCTAGATTTGGTTTTTTTTTAAGAGTTTCCATTATTTTCTTCAATGAATCTGTTTGTTTGTTTTTCAGAAAGAGAAATAAATAATAATTAAATTGTTTATTGATGATTAGGAATATATTTTTGATTAAAATAATCTATTTTATATATTTATAACTTTCTGATTAGTATAAGGAAGCACTTGTCTTGCAACTTTCTATCACAGGTTTGCATCCTTATTCATTGAAAATACTCCATCAGCTGTTTTATCATATTAATATTCAGAAAAATTCAAGTTACTTGTGCTTTATCTAACCATAGATTTATTCATTTATCATAAAGAAGTCATTATTTCTAGTAACTTATTCCACAAACTGGTTGACGTGCTGAAAAGATATCTCATACTATTGTGAAGATCACTTGTTATTAGCTATAAATCATTTATCTTCCCTTTTCCCCCGTTGAACTTCGCTTAACGCTTATTTTTTTCTAAGTACTCTTGTGAATCCTACTCTTTCTTGGTTGAATCTTCTTGTTACCTAATTGATACATATTATTTTCTTGGATAAACGATTTCAGAAAATACAGTGTACTACGAACTTTGAACAGAAGTTATGAAACAGCTGTATTATCTTGGCTCGATCAATTAGTGAACTGTTAGTATAAGTCAGGATTGCATCTACAATTTTCTTTATCATAAAAACTATCAGTTACTTGTTAAAAATTGCTTGCTAATTTAGAAAATCACAACATTGGTCTATCTAAATGTTACTTGTGTAAATATTTATAACAAATAATTTATAGTCGATAGCAAAGATTATATTCAACAAAAGCATCTTTTTCAAGTTCAGACCCAATTATTCAATTACTTTGTCACAGATTAACACATGTAACAAAAAGTGGTCCCCAACGTATCATAGGTTAGCGGCAAATGATAATTAAATAAAAAACACGTGTACTTACACAAATAAAACCTATGACGTTTATGTATAATAAGTTATAGATGGTTTACTTTTTTATAAAAATGTGGTGCTTTAACAAGGTCAGGATTCGTAAAAGTATTTTACGATTCATTAAAATGCTTTCTTCTTTTATCATTGATAAATTATCCACCGTAATAAAACTATGTATGAGTGGAAAGGATAAAAGATTTCACAAACTTAAAGCAGTCAATAAACAAGTTTCCCACGAAGTTATTAGCGGAAACAGTGTTAATAAAGTTGGTTCTTTCAAATAGCCTCAGAACTGAAAAGATGTACTTGAAATAATTGCAACTGTTTGGACACAACCTGAACAGAAAAGGCTAACTCCAGGAAATATTTTATAATCTACTCATGAAGAAAATGACCCCCACACAAGAAGTTACACTGATGCTGTACAAAGTGTCACAGAAAGCACTTATAAGATGGAAAACCGACAGTTTTAAATAATCAAAATATCCTTCAAAACAAAGAAGGAAAGGGTTATAATGAATTTCATCCTTGTTCTATACACCCACTAATGATGGCAACGAAGATTATAAAGACTCGCCTATGTAAGTTAGTCTAATTTTGTTTTCTATCTTCCTGCTTGTCGCTAAATGGATTACGAAGACCACCATATCCCAGGAGAAGCATTGGATATTGTGAATATCTTCGACGTAGCTGGAGGCTTTGGGATTGGCAGGTAAATAACCTCTTCACATAACAATTAATGAAGTCGAAAAGTCAGTTAACCAGCAGCCTCCGCAGCAGTAGGCCCTAACACACAAGAGGAAGATCAAGATCCCCAAATGCAACTTGTTAAGTGCCATCCATATCAAAATTGATAGCTGCGCTGAAAGAGGTGGAAGTCTTAGGTTACTTGGACTGTATCACTGACAAACAACGAATATCTAATTTCAATGGTTAAGATCATGAGTCAGATATAATGGCACGAATTGGCAAAGCAAATGCAGCATTTCTACAATTGAATATCTGGAACCAAAAAACTGTCACTCAAGATCAAGGTCAGAATTTTTAGCACTTATGTTAAAACGGTTCCATAAAACTTCCAGAACTACCATCACCAAAAGTGCACAAGTTTTTATAAACAGTTGTCTGCACGTGATACTCTACAAGTATTAGCTAAGCATCATCAGCAAAAACCTACTGTGGCAGAGAAAAATCCCTCTTCCAGCTGAGGAAACTAGGAATAGATCCTGTAGGTGGATAGGACACGCATCAAACTGAATCACAAGGCAAGTTCTAACTTAGAATAACTAAGCAAAAAGATATTTTATTTGTGATTCAACTAAGGATCAATTTGATAGTCTTCGTAAAATATCGCAGAAGCTATTACTTTTCATTCAAAAGTCAGTAATATATCTCTGAATTATTAGTTTTACTAGCTTTCATCGCTCGATTTTAAGTTAATTATGTTTAAGTGATCAGTAATGACGTAGTTTTTAATATCTGAGTTTAAAACCACGGCAAACACCATTTGAGGATAAACATATCTTTCGTCCTATTCTATCACTATGAGGATCCATTAGTTGTCTAACTGTCCTGTTAATAAATTATTAGTCTGCTCAAAATAGTAAACTTCGTCCTAACGCAGAGAGAAAACCAAATAAAATACAAACGTGGAACAAATAAATAGTGTAGAAAATACTGGTGAATATACGCTTTATTGTGATTATACTTTCAGAAATATATATGACTCCAAATAAAACACTTTAATTCAACCTACTTTTTATGTGCATAAAAATCAATATTTTCTTCAAAATTTCCACATTTATTCCATACACCATTGTGTTCAAACGATGGTAAGAGTTCTGTATTTGATTCGTAACCCATCAAATGTAAATGATTATCTCTATTTATTAGATTCACTTTAACTGATGGATCATGATGAAATAATGAAGACGATTGCGGTGGGCTTGATGATGTACTTGTTGAAAATGATGTTTTGTATTTTAATACTATCTCTTCTCTATCTAGTTTATTGTCTTCTTTGTCACCATGTAATTTTCCTCTGAATTAATTTATTGCAATGAAACATACGCTTTAAGTATTTTGTTCATTATAAGTAATAATATGATGAGAAAGTGGAAGGCTAACGATCTTAGATTTTTTAGTTTGAAGTAATGATTTTCATTGTTGTTTCACATTATTTGGTGAAACAACGAAAGCCATGGTGTGCTAGAGATTGTGCTTGCCGAATCCAATTCAAGTCTTGCTGTGTGCGTTGTTTGTAATCAATCGAATTATGATTCACTAACTGATTCGAAATATTCCATAATTATCATTAGTGATATCTATGTCATTATCGATTTAGTCAAATTGCACTGGCGTGGGTTTCTAGTGATTATTTTCAAGCCAAGGCAAGACTATTATTTGATCATACATAGCTTTCCGTCTAACTTTCTGTGAAGGGAAGAAACTTTTCAGAAGTGAAGTGCATGTGTTATACTTATACATATGAAAGAGTAATCGTGGTATGCAAAATAGAACGGCAAAACACATAGTCAAATAAGTACGATCTCATATAGAAATTCCGCTGATCTGACAAGAATATGTGGTAAAAATCCATCTCCATCGATTGCTAAACTAAATACAGAAACTTTTCACAAAGGACTTTTGTGTCAGCATATAACAATTGCTAGAAAATTGGTGAAACCCCGATCATACGACATTTTAAATGAGACTCATATTTTCGAAAGCAGTTCATGATTACATGATTTCTGTCTTCGTAATACTGATTTTAATTTTCAATATTAGAGAGGGATTTGATAATTAGTTCAATCTTATTTTTGTTTCCTATATAAATACTCTGACAAATTAATTTGTGATAAGATTATCGATTATGGTATTTAAATAATCAATTTAAACTATTGTACTTAGAATGCTGAAAACGATTGTGTTTATCTTCAGGAAACGCATACTGTTTTGAAGTACATAGAAGAACTATAGGTTGTGGAGTTTTAATTGTTCATCTTATGAAATCTTAACGGTCTGCTTTTCCTAGTTTTGTTTATCTTAGATCTGTCTGTTAATTGTTTTCAATTGCAATTTTATCTAAACTGTCTATAACTGAAGTTAATTTTTTTGGAACTAAATGAAATAAGTTCTTATGATAAATGATGATGAAAAGTAATGACGAAACATACTTATTTGTAGAAGATAGAATCTTTGTAGATTCCTCATTTAGTCTAAGATCGTCCGGCCATAACCTTTGCGTTTGAATATTGTGAATTGATGAGTTTAAGCAACTAGAATTATTGATTTTACAGATGGTGTTTTTTGCTAGATAAAAACAAAAAGTGTACAAATGTTTGTAATTTAAAGAGCAAGAAATTGGGTGATAATTCAAAGTGTGCAAAGTTGCGGTTTCTTTCGCTAATTTGTGCAAATAGTTTCACACTAGTTCAGGCACATTAAAATAGTTTAATAACAGAAATTTCCTTGACGGACATAATCACCATTTCATTTTCAGCTGTCAAAGTTTACATAATACCCTTAGGACACAAACTGTGTATCCGATAGAACAAGCATCCTCTAATGTTGATGTTCATTTAATTGCCATAGTGGAGGCATTACCGACTGGAATGAGTTCTTACTAGAAGTAATTTGCAAACTTAGGCTAGAACATTTAAATAAATCTCGAAAAATTTTACTGAAATAAAAACAATATTCTAAGTGGCCCATAATGACTGTGAAATTACTTACCAATTCTATGCAAACTATAATTTGTTTCTGGTCGGTATAACAATTCGGCATGAAGTTATCATAAAACGATAAATAGATCTATTAGAGGTTTATTTAAATATTTATTTGATTAGGTAGGATTTCAAGTTGTCTCTCTATATCCTTTTGATCACTATCAATCTGTTACATGAAGACTTAATTTAAGTGTGTCAGTTCCCTACTTTAAAATTCTTACGTAGTTTACGCAAAAACATAGATACTTTTACTTATATGAAAGTATTAGTTGCTTTCGGTCATTATAACTTATACCACCACTGACAAGCAAAATCTTGGAGTTAGTAAGGTGACATCCAAGGTTTGAAATGAATTTATTACCAGTATTCATATTTACCGAGAATGCTGTAAAAGAACTTTAAGATGAACATCAACCAGTTTACTGCTCCAGCCATTCAGACTACACTATCCTGTGTTCTATATCCGACAAGTTTCGATTCATCTGATTACGTGAATATCAAGGTTTAAATTGAGGTGCTACTGCTTTATTCTCAGATTCTGGAAAGATTGGGTTGAATATTAATGACAGAGTAACTTGAATTGTTCAAAAGTTAGACAAATTGAGTGTCTGATCTTTTTGCAATACATTCATCTCCAAAAGATCTGTACAATAAATTTAATACTTTTTGAAATTTCAAGTTGCGACTATTGGAGCAGAAAATATTATATATCATTATCACACCATCTCTTTAATGTTAAAAGTCTGAAAGAGGATTTTCAGGCTATCTAAATATTTATTATATCAACCTCTATTAGACGTATCATCGTTTTGTTTCCTGACACTAGGAATGCTTTGTATTTTCAGACTAAATTGTGCTACAAAATCGTCTATCTGAAAAATTTATTTGAACCTTAAAAATTGGTTGCATATGTGCTTCAAAAACAGTAATGACATTCGGCTGTCTTTCTTTAGTGTTCCGAATCGTTATTGTTTAACCATGACGTCGACGATATTCCAGAAACAGTTTTAACCAAATGTAGTGACGGAATAGGTTTTTATCTGGAGAAAAACCTTTCGACATAGAAAATGTAAATAACAGTTTTCGCTGTGTAAAAATATACTGGTTACTCAGGTCACATTTAGTTGATTAGCCATTAGAGTTTACAAGTATACTGTATGTTTAAGACCGTTAATAATTGGAATAAATTTCCACCGTTAGCAGGAACGTGATCACATGATTGACTTCATTAGTGAGCCATTGGAAGTAGTCAGGAAGTCCTCTTATCAGAGTAGCTGTTTAATATCCGCTGATTATTATTCCGTTGAGTCCAATCGTCTCACAGCCAGAGGTGGACTAGTCTAGAAAAATATTGGTACAATTCTGCCTCCACAAAGTCGTATGTACAGAAATATTGAGTGACCTTTGCTTCTGATCAGTGTTGTTTCTGAATTTTGTAGAATCACTATTTAAGTATTATAAAATTAAGTCAACTACTCTGTGAATATTGCTAATGAATTAATGTAGTCATTTTAACCATAAGGTTGTCGGTTTGAAATCATTCACTTATCGGTAAGAAATATTTATCTCTTTACGTAACAAAGTAAAGGAAAGTAAGAGCTTCCGTTGAATGCCACTTTTACAAAATACGCTGAAGAGAAATGTCAAAAGGTAAGAGCTTTGATTGTTAATAAAGCAAACACATTTTTAGAATGAATCTGGAAACTGTAACTAAGAATGTATTTGTATTCTTAGTACACATTACCAGATACCCTAATTATTTATATGAAGCTAGAATTAATCACAGAGTAAATTATGATGTAGTTTAAAGTGTTGTGTTTAAATTAATGATTATATTTCCTTTCTTTATTATCAATCAGTGGGAAATAGAGTAAATATCAAAATTCCATGGATAATGGTGTACTATCGTTATGATTCATTCGTAGAAAGCATTACTGAATAAAAAATAAATTTTCAGGTGCATAAAACAGTTTATAATAATAATAATAATAATAATAATAATAATAGACTTACTAAATTGTGAAAGCAACTCTTGTATCAATTCCCACATTATATAAAGTGAACGAATGTTTTTCTCCCTGGTCTTGATTACAACAGACTAAAATTATGAATCATAAACATTGAAATATCAACATTCACATTAGAAAAAATTCGATAATAAATGACTCAGTCGTCTTAAACATACACTTTCACTTCTGAATGTTTTATGCTATGCTTTCAAACTTCCGTTAATTTGAAGAACTCAATCAGAACAATATTGACAAGATAAAATGATGAATTTATTTTGTTTTCATTACTTACACTAATTACATACATTAAAATGTAATGAATAAAGTGTAGGAAACACTCTAAAGTTGTTTATTAGAATAGCATACAATGTTTCCTTTAGTCAGTTTGTAATATAAAATCAACCTAATTCCATATTAATTCTAAAACCTTAAAAGTTTGTAACTGCAATAGTTACAGTAGAACATGACCACCATGATAGATATTTAACTGATTGTTATTTTCTGTTTCCACGTATTATCAAATCAGCACTGTTCTTTTCTAGTCTATATTTCTATCAGTTTAATAGTTTAACTTAGTGATCTCACCTTTATCGTTCTAATTCACCTTATTCTTTTGATTTTATAGTATAGTAGAGTTTTTCTAACATTTGGACCAGATATTGGCTGAATACAGGTTTTTTTTACCCGTTTGTGTGAGTAGTAGCCATGCTATCAGGAAGCTCAAACCAAATTAGATAATAAGAATCGCATCCGTGACTTACTGTTAGAAATCCAAATGTATTAATCACTAAGCCATCATTTTAGAAAACAAATTTTTTCATTGTTTCGGTGGGATTTGAATCTATTTTTCGTTAGTTGCAACATAAAAAAAATTTAACAGTAGATTTACAGGGACATAGAATAAAATCAATCCAAGTGATTTGTCTGTGGTATGTTGATAAATAAAGATTATATTTATCGAATAATGTGAAGTAAAAGTTTGAGTTTTTGTTTACATTCATATGTATCGTGAAGTGATTCATAGCCAAGTTGATAATCATCTTCAACACAGATTAAAATGAAGTTATAAATTTTTGCTGTTTTCATTGTGGTAAAATTGGTATACAATAATAATAATAATAATAATAATAATAATAATAATAATTATTATTATTATTATTATTATTATTATTATTGTTATTACTATTATTATAGTTTAATGAAACAGTTCAAGTTTAAAAAATGTAGTCACAATTTACCTTGACTAAATCTTTTGGTTTATTTCGAATAGTTAAATTCACTTCATAATATTTGCATAAATTAGTAAGATTGAAATTTTCAAGCCATTCACCTTGTAATATATCCACATCGAATATTAATACAACAGGTAATAAATTCTATGGATGGTAAAATATGATGTTCATACATTTAAATATATATATATATATATCATTTTGGAAAATGAAGGATAAAAAATATTTGTTAGGTAATCCACGGGTCAAATTATTCAGACGCACATCTATCCAAAGAACTGAAGTCTCTCATAGCAACTGATGATCATTTACATTATGTGATTTTACAATACAGTGTTAGTATTCAGATAGTAAACTCTACTTGGAATCCTGAATGGACACAGAGAAGAGGAAGGCCGAATAACACACTACGTCAGGAATCGCATGTAGACATGAGAAGGATCAATAGCAACTGGAAAGGGTTGGGTGGTGAATACTGGTGGGCGGCCTATGCTTCTCCACGAGGGGTAACAGGAGTAAGTAAGTATGTAATTTATATTGCATCCCTTCTGCTTAATACAGTGTGGCAATAGCAATAAATCATGTAAATAACTTGTTTTTCTCTTTTCATAGTCCATTACAATTCTGTCATTTTTAAATTATATCTTTAAAAAAAAGATTATTTTATTGTTCTGAATGATAAAACTATCGTCTTGATTATTATAACTAACTATCAATCCAGTTACTTAAATAAATAGTCTCAAAACTTTATTAGTTCAAAAATAATCGAGAAGTCGAGTTCATGTTTTCTCTAATTCAATTAAATTAGTTCAATTTCCAATGTGAACTTTTGACATTCGTTTTGATCCTTTGTGTAGCATTTTAGCTAGTAATTTGTTTATTTTATATACTCCAGCTTGACATTATTTCAGGTTAATATGTTTCTACCAACCAATTGTGAATTTCATTCAGTAAGATAGGTGTAAACTTTCAACTAGTATGACAATGCTTTTCATCGTTGATATTACAATGGTCCCTGATTATCAAGGACACAAAAGAGGCCATATGGACCAAATAATTTCAAAGTACCTTTTTCAACAACTTACTTTTTTTTAAAAATTTATATCCTGATAATCCAGTATGTTGTTACTTAAAAGTGATTTTTATCAGTAACTGAAATTTTTTAAGAAACCAAGCTCAAAAAAAACAACTAGAAATTACTGAAAAACTATTTTGTTCTATTTCATGATTTTTTAGCTGGTTGAAACACAATTCAATGTATGGTTAAAATTAATAACGATATTCTCAGATAATCTAATTGAAAGTCAATTATTCACATTTCCAACCACAGTTAATTTGTAATTCAGAACTGATAGAACAAAAAATCCAGTTGTCCAGAATCCTATTTTTCTTCATTAATTCATCTAATTAATCGTAAACTGTAAATCAACTTTTAAATTATAACTTATTTCAATAATTGAGATCATCACTAAATTGAGACTAGATCACCATAGAAAACCTGGAACCATTGGACGGACGTTTCTTTCTATTGTTGAACTCCTCAACAGTGCGCATCCACAATCTCACCACACAAGATTCAAACCCAAGACCTATCAATCTCGCGCGCAAACTCAACCTCTAGACCAATTATCCTTTAGAAATGATCTTAGTAAATCATTTTTATAATAATAATAATAATTACTTGAATAATATTTATTATTACTTACTGTTATCAATTGTCTAGCTAAAAATACATTATCTACATTACCATATATATGAATATGATTTAATTTCCTATTGATATATTGATTGAATAAATGATTATTTAAATTTAATTTATTCAATGTTAAATGTTGATTTATATTTGAAAAATTAGAAAAATAATCAATAGAATTGAATTGATTATGTAATAAAATTGTTTGTGATACTGATGATGATGATGATGGTGATAAATAAGAATTTTTCACTGATGTAGTAGAAGAGATAAAATTAATATTTGCACCAGTTGTTTCATAAATTAATTTAATTAAATTTTCTGATGAACTTTGACTATTTAACATTGAAGAATATTTTGTATCCATGCTCATATACATGTTTACTGGTATAGAATCCTTTGTTTTTTTTAAAAAAAATTATACAAAAAAGATTATAATCAAACTAAAAGATTATTATATACAATTAATCATAAAATACCATTAAAGAAATGATTATTAGAAATTAAACAAGAATCATAACAAACTAAACAAAATTCCTTCCAGTTTTTAAACTTTAAATTAATTTCTCAGTCAATTTACTTAGTAAAACTTAGTAACTATTCCTACAGTTTTCGCAAGTGAATGAACCAATTCCCTTATTCAAATTTAAATTTAACCATTTTAAATTCAGAACAACATATATAAAACTGCTTCTGTGGAGAAAGCTATATTGGGTGCACTCCCAGACAACGAAGTCAAAGAATTAGTGAACACCTCCCTTTGTGATTAAGAAAAGGTACTGTCAAGACAATACGCAACTCGGTTCTATTACACTTGACCAATAGCAGTCGTGTAGTAGACAGAAATAGGTCATTTAAAGGTATCTGTCGTATTTCTACTAGTTTTCCTTTTGAGGTTCGAACTGGTCTCTTACACATAGCAGAAGCTATAGGAATTCGAGCTAACAATACAACCTGGGTGGCCTGATTGAATGTCTGGGTTACCAGTTCCTGCCATCTAGATATTTCAACAAGCTATCTGTTTTCTTGTTTGTTATAACAGATCATTATGTCATTTAAACTGCAAAACCTATTTAGGCGCGTTTGTGAAAATTTTACGACCTTTCGCTGCACAAGTTACAAAAATTTACAATCGGATACATTGTGATGGCTGGCAGTATGTACTGAAAAGAATGAATATTATTCAGATGACTTCTGAAATACAAATATCTAACTGGTGATCACTCAATATTTATCGTCAATATCTATCAAGAAATAAGAAACGGAAACTCGTTGAAATACTTCGTGCTGAGAATTCTATATTGTACCAAAAATATAATAATGAATAAAGCTGATAGTAGTAATAATAATGTCTCTGTGTTCATAAGAAATTAGTAACACCTTTATCTCTCTCTCTCTCTCTTGGCATTAGTAAATGATTTTATTTATTATTAATTTTCATACTCTTTATTCGTTTATTTTCCCTCACCCCCTCCCACTCTTTTCTTTTTGCAAATATACGCTTCACAGCCCAATTAGCTGGACACTTCTTAATGCGTAATCTTATAATCTTTAGGAATGTTATTGCCATGTCTATATTTTTCTAATCATTGACCTATTTCCTATTATTTAACATTGATTCAAGCCTTTATTATTCTTACACTTGTCATCACACTACCAATTTGTACTTTTCACTTATTATGTTTAATTATGTAATCTTTACAGCTGTTATCATTGACTCATAAACTGCCTTGATTGGTTTAATAATTTCGTATATACATATAAATATTACTGTAAAACCTGATGAAGATCTAATCGGAAATAATATTGTTCGCTTATATATGTTGTTCTAAATCACAATATGAGAACTGATGTACGTACGTACGAAGTTCTAAGTTGTGACTGACTGACTGACTGACTTAAGAATTGGAGGTTGAATGTAAATATTTTATGAGTTTACTATTTCAATTATTAAACTTATCAAAGATGATGAAATTATTTCTTAAAAACAGACATCTGAATTCCTAACATTTCATTTCCTTGTTTAATAAATTGAAATTCAGCATTATACTGCGCGGCTGTCTGTTCTGTTTTAATTTACGGCAGCGAAACATGGCCTTTAAGAGTAGAAGACACTCGTAAGCTACTAGTATTTGACCACAGATGCCTTAGAAATATTGCTGGCATCTGCTTGGATCACTGGGTAAGTCATAGTGAGGTTAGACGCAGAGTATTAGGGAATGATGGTAAACCAGTTGATGAGATTGTGAACCTTCATAGACTGAGATGGTTGGGCCACGTGTTACGTATGCCCGAACACCGATTACCACGACGTGCAATGCTAACTGGTGTTCGGGATGGTTGGGAGAAAGTTAGGGGCGGCCAAACCAAAACGTGGCATCAGTGCTTGAAATCACTAATCCCTAGTTTGAGCTATGTTGGTGGATTCAGACTACTTGGTTAGGGTCTGCGTGACTATCGTAACCAATGGTTGGAGACTCTAGGTGACATGGCTCAGAATCGATCACAATGGCGTGGGTGTGGTGTATACACTCTCTGTCTTCCCTTAAACTAGGAGATTAAAATCGCTTCATATCTTTCTTCCTACGAACTAATTCTTTCTTCCTGTACTATATCCTTATTGCAATCTTTCTTTTATATATTACCACCTCTGAATTAACTACTTTTATGAATCCGGTGTCCATCTTGCTGTGTTAATTAGGTATGGCAACTTGGACCGATGCATATATGTGCCTGGTCCTACGTTGTAGCTGACTAACTGACTGATATATCAATAAACATAACGCAAGAGAAACAACATCTTGTTGCATTACCTCTTTTTTTACTACCAGTCTAATAAATACAATTTTAGATTCTGTTATGACTTAATTATCATCTACGATTTCACAGGACGTTAAAGTGCATAAATTTATTAAATACTTGTACTTCAAAGAGTTCAAAATAATCATAATAACTTACAATAATAAAAAAACACTTACCATATTCTGAGTAAAGTATTTCTTAATTAACATATGTACAACACTTTTAGTCTTTTTTGCATTGATTGTTAATCCTTTAACACTGACAGTTGTCTTACTATAAGGTGTTAATGTATAATGATTACGAAATATAATTTCAACATCATAAACATTTTGGATTTGTTGAATAACCGGTGAATTCTGATTTGTACGTAAATTTTCATTGTTTAAATAAGGTATTTCAAATGTAAATGTAATTGGAAGAATGTCCTGAAGAGAAATTGTTTAAAAAATAACGATCAATGTACTCTTCATCAGTTTTTAGTCCAGAATTAGAGATTCAGAAATACATTCTACATAGATTTAGTAGAGAGAATAAAAGTGAAAGTACTTATCCAATATATTTTCTTGATTGTATAGTGACTAATTAAGTTGAAGATGATGTTCTTAACTATTCGCCATCATCGATTTAGGTCTCAGTTAACACTTCGATTTATAGTCTTCTCTGATTTTGTGTATACAGATCTCCAGATAATTCGACCACTGATGATAATCATATTTTTGAAGCGAACGTCATAACAGAAGACGTTAGATACCCTGAAGTAAATTGGACTACGCACAGAGGTCAGCCATGTAATGAAGAAATCTTAGCAATACTTGACGTCAAATCCTCCACCTAGTTTTCTGTCCAGATATTATCCCATTATCTGTACAAGTTAATAAAAAAACTTTAACATATTGACCATAAAATGATTACCCGTGCTGTTACTATTATTGCCAAAGCCTCCAATAGCCTTTTTTCGTTACAAAAACTAGTCAATATCGGATCTAATAATGTGTAGATTGAGACTTCCAGGGAAATCTGTTAAGATGTTCAGATTAAGAAAAATTCCCGAGCAATAGTCTCATAAATACACTGGACATATTTTATTTAATCAATAGCTCATACTTAAATCCTAGTACACTTGTGAAAGCATACAGGACTACTAAGCTTAATGGTTTATATATGTCAGTAAAGTATGGCAAGAAACTAATCTAATTTATCCAAATCGTAAAATCTATAAGTTTAAAGTCATCAGTGAATAGCATCCAGTACGTGATTGTAGTTCAAAAGCATAGATCTTAGTTCTTATTACCGATAGACGCTCTAGAGCACCTTAAAATGCTGATATCTCCCGCTTCTTGTATATTGACTCATTTATAAATGATTATAAACTACCGCTAATCTTTTCGGTGGTGTTTTTTTGGCCAGTAACAGGCTTCTAATTAATATTAGATTAGAAGTCGCACACATAACCTGTAACTCTATACAATCTATATCTTTCAATTATACTCAAACTATTAAAACTATAACCTTAATATTGCCTCCAAAATCCATGCACCAGAGGTTATATCTACTCCACTAATAAAAGTATAACAATACTAGGCTTGAATACGTTTATTATTAAGTATTTTTACCAAGCTTCCTTTGTCGCTGATATTTTACCCTTAAACAATCCTTGATTAGTTTAAATAAAGTATATTCAATTTAGCAGATCACAAAACAATTACACGTATATACGATGACACACCTATCACATTGATTTTACCGTTTTTGTTCTTTACTTTCCGTTCAGATTTTCTCTTCACTAGATGTAAATGATTATAAATACTCTTTAACGACACTGTGATTACTCGTTAGTACATTAACGATGCCTCTTAAGGATTTCTTAGTCCTCCTTTTAAAAAAATACTGGTTCTTAACTATCGCTTCACATTTTTCTAATTAATCCCTGATATAAATGTCCTTTCAAAACAATTTATAAACAATGTCATAAGTAATTTACTCATGTATCTATGTTATTTACATGTTAAATGTATTTCTGTATCATCCTGATCATTTTTGCAAATTGACATGACTTCTGCAATCATTCTCATAATATAAACTACTTATTATTTAAATCTATCTCGGATGGAATTATCAATGAGATTGTAGGTTTATTATTTGCTTTTCTAGTAAAAGATTTCATATATCTTAGAGGTATTTTTACTAAAAATCTACTGAATAGGTGATAAGTTAAATATCATTTCTTACAGTTCGTTGATTAATTGACACCATTATTTTCTAATAACTTAAACAAGTTAAAGATTGTTTAAACACAGTATCTAATTAAATTAAAAATTAACCTTGAAAAAGCATATAAAAATAACCAAATTAGTTATAAGTATCATATTCTTTAAAAAAAAGAGTAAACAATTCAACATACTCGAATTATTCTTCTAGCTTTCTCGACATTCTCCAACTGACCAGATATTGAAACTTGATTACTTTTAATTATTGAACTATTACGATTTGAATCTGGAAAATGTATACGACATTGAGTAATCATCATGATTGTTTTAATATTCCAACCATAACGACCAATTATATAACTATGATTTGTATGCGATACATCAATTTTTAATGTTACATGTCTATTTATTTTATTTAAATCATCATTATAATTTGAGAATAATGTACCGCTTCCTTTTAATGAAATAAAATTTACAAATCAAGATTTAGGAATATATATATTTCATATATAAAACTATTCATATATGGATCATAATTAAATTAAATCTTATTAATAATTCATTGTAGATAGAAAGTTAGTTACATCAAGCATTTAAATCATCCCTTGAACTGTATCAGAAGGTTTTCAATGGTGGTCTAACATCAATCGGTTTATGATCTCAATCAAAAACTTAATAACCTCCACAACCCTATACTGTATCAGAAGGCACAGAATTTCTACTTTCAATTCCTCAAATAACGATGTCTGCAACGAAGGACCTTAAGTGATTTATTTCCAAATCAATGGATATATTCCTTCTTTTCTTTCTTCCGAGTTCGTGGCCTAGTAATCTTCAAAAACGTTGTTTTCTTAACTTCATTTGTTTTTTTTTAACTTGTGACATCTTGGTTTATTACGATTATTCTTGATTATTTTGAAATCAAGTTATTTTGTTATATATTAGCAATATATAATATTCTTTCTTGAAACCAGTAAATCATCTAGTGGTAAATGCAGCCTGATAAAAAAAATCGTACAATTTCTGCGTTTATTTGGTGTACTAATCTGCGTATTTCAAGGATATGTATCAAACTGGTATTTAATAGTCGTAATTGTAAGCTTTTTCTGTCCTATTATTTACTGTTATATATCCCACCATTTAGAAACTACTAAATACGTAATCATAAATAAGTTATTCAGTTTTCTACCGAACGTGACTTAGTTATACAAATGCTATTGTCTAAAAGATTATGGCAGACTGCAGTATGACATTTTACTTGTATTTGAACTTCTGTTGTTCGAATCAAAGATTTTCATAGCCTGCTTGTTGTATGCAAAATCGAAATGTTTATGCGTTTATGAGTCATGAACGTAGAGGTATTAGGTAGACTATATCAAAACTCAATAACGTGTTTTGATAGTTGCTAGTGAATATATTATCTTCAGAAATATTATCCTTGAATAGAAAAATTATAATTAGTTTACACTAATTACAAATCATGTGAAAGTTAGATCACAACAGTTTCATTTTATTTCAAAACGCCTTAACTACTTACTTAGTCGTCTCTATAATCAAACCCTATCTGTTAATGCATGCATTTCATTCTGTTCTTGCCTATGACACAATATATCTTCTTATGTCGTTATGAAGTTCATAGTACAATCGATAGATGACGTAAATTTTTACTCTTTTAAATCTCTAGTTAGAAGACTAGAAGTACCCTTTATTATTCATATATAACTAGTAACAATAGAAAATGCACAATCGGAGGCTATAAGACACTAGAATGATAAAAATCATTATTCATATAGGTATTATGCTTTTTATGCATTGATAATTAGTGCATTTATAATTAGTCAACTGAAATTTAAGGACGGTAAAAGATAACAGAATAATAAATTTAATAATTGAATTCACTAGCCATTTAAAGCTAGAACACCATGGAAAACCTTGAAGCACTGAACGGCCCTTTCGTCGCAGGATGGGACTCCTCAGCAGTGAGCATCCATGATTACGCCCGTGGGATTCGAAACGACGACCTATAGATCTCTCCCACGAACGCTTAACCTCTAGACCACTGAGCCGGCGTCCAATGATGTTAATGTTCAACTTTAACCAATCCACGAACAATAAATGAACGACATAGTTTTCCATCGGGACTATATACATAAGTTTGATAATAAATGATTCATTAAATAAGAGCTAATCGAGTTTAATAATTTTTTCTTTTTTTCAACTATTTTTAACAGTTGCCATTTTGTAATTTTATTGAAAAATAATTAATCCTGTTCTTATAATAATAATAAATTCATTTATATGGATTATGAAGAAGCTTTATCAAAAAACAAATAATATTTCTAAGATACCTGATCATACTTCTATGCTAAGTGATCTTTTGTGTTACTTACCTAAAGTTACATTAGGTTGATTAAAATATTTCGATAAAATAATATCACTTGAAATCCTATTTGGATTTAATAAACTCATCCTTATTTCTAATAGTTTCCCTCTCATCTGTGGAAAAGTAAATCTTATATATATATATATATATATATATATATATATATATATATGGTCTCAAATAGATTTTAAATTAATTAATCAATAATATATCGATTAACTTTACACATTTATTACAATTCCCTTTAATTCAAATTTATACAAATCGTGGGAATAATGATAAATAATAATCGAATGTTTTAAACAAACGTATGTTATTTTTTTAGGTCAATATCTATTATATTGATTGATGTACGCTTTTATTTTTCCCAACCGTAATAGCATAATGTAAAATAGTTTTATTTGATTTATAGTAGTACATATCATAACATGAAGATGTTAATAATAAGCTGATATTGACAAAGTGTTTTAACAACATAGACTATCTAAGTAAATCAGTTAGAAATTCACGATTATTATTATTATTATTATTATTATTATTATTATTATTATTATTATTATTATTACTTTAATCATTGACAGTAGTTTACTGAGAAAACATTCGATAAGTAAGCTCAATTTTAATTTTGTACGAAAATAACATGTACTAAGAGTCTTATGAAAGAAAAAAAGTAACTTAAAAAGAAGTTATAAAGAAAATTAGTGAGTTAATTTTGGTTAATCACTAAACATACATAGTAATTGGCATAAAAGCTTTTCATCTTTCAATCCTGTTCAATTCCTTTGAAATATATCATCTATGTTTGATGTTTCGGTACCATTAAACTTTATTAATTTCTTTTCACTTTAATGATATGATGTGTGAGTATTTGATTCGAAAATATGGTCTAAATGAGAATCTCACTGAGATGAACCAGTTGTACAATTAAATGTCATTTAATAAATAATACTGTTTTAATATTGACAGACCACGGACTTGGTTGTCTCGTTTAAACACACAACATATAACAGCAAAAGTGAATCTTTTATTATGCAAATTAAAGTAAGAAGATAATATTTATGCTTCTATAGTGGGATATCAGTTACTTCAATGACTTTGTTATAGTCATGACAAATAATATAAACAAATATAGAAATAAACTCGAATACAAGATTTCACTTTGACTCCTATAATAAGGGGAAACAATATCCTAGTGTTGATTAGTGTATGAAATAAAAAAATAATGTTTAATACAGGCAAGACTCAATTCATATTTTGATGGAGTTTTGTTCTCTGATCTGGTGGAGATTTGTAGCTCGGGTGAATGATTTTGATGAATTTTTGTTCCCTGAGCTGGATGGTTTGGTACACCACCTAAAAATCATATGAGCGTAATACGCTTCTCGTTGTTCGAAAACGGTTGAATTTCGCCAAAAGGCAGACTTCCACTCGAAGAATTCAGCAAGGAAATTTTTCCTTTCGACAAGTTCATTTATTTAAGCTGTACATTCGTATTTATAATTCATTTTTGTATTGTTTGTTTCAATATTCCATCGACGTTTAGGAATCCATTGAACAGTCTCTTATTAGCATATGTACATGTTGTGAGGATTACCTCGATATTGCCTTAAGTCACAAGCATTATAGGCAAAGAAGGATGGTGGCTAGCTGCGGAATCTGAGATGCGCATTTCATCACATTTATGACTCGTCAGCTGGGTGTACCTGCATTCACTCTGGGGCTCAAACGCAGTACCGTTCGCTTTAGATCCATCGCCTTATCCACTTAGCTACTAAGTCCAGATAGCCACTGCCTTGTGCCAGACTTTTCAACTGCGATCCTAAACATCAGTGGGAAGCGTTGTATCCCGATGAGAATTATGAATGGTAACTTTTGAGAACTATTTATGGATCAATACGATACATATATTTTTTAAAGAGAGCAAGAACAAAGGTTGGTGCAGAATAATATGAATTCATTTTATTTCGTTAGGTTCTCATCAGCTGCTTACGACCTAAAATATTTGACATTCAACGTTATTATAGATGTTGACATACTTATACATCAGAGGGTGATGAAGATGAATATATGTAGCATGATGTAGCAAAGATTTCGTTAGAGTTAATGAGGTCATAAAATTTTTGTTTCGAATATATAGGGTTTGAGAGGGAAGGTTCCAGAACATTGAAATAATGATTAGAACTCATGGAATTAAAACACATTAAATTATTATGCAATGAAATAACTGAAAATAGATTAACGGTAATAAAGAGAGATGTGAATTGAAATTGTTGAGTTATGAATGATGTAATTATAAAATTCAGAAAGAGTTGAAATGACGTAATAGATAAAGGGGGGGTAATGTTACCAGGGCAAAGAAAGATTTATTACTGTTTCTTTTTGTATACAAAGATCTGGTTTTAAACGTTTGATTGCTATTGCTTCGGCAAATTTCAAAAGGTTTGAATTTGATGGTTTGCTGATCACCTTGAAGGACTTCAATATATCGACTTCGTGTCCTGTGTCAAGGAGATGTCTTGCGACAGCGCTGCTGAATGCTTTAAGTCCATTTGATCTCAAACACTTCGAAATATGTTCTTTAAATCGGACGTAGGCTCTCCTTTCTATTCTACCAATGTAACTGCTTTGGCAGATACATGTAAATTTGTATACACAGTTGGTGGTAACATGAAAGGGATACCTGTCAACCTTTGATTGTGTCAAAGAACATGTTGTTTTGGACAGGACAATCAATTTAGCTGCAGGATATGTTCTTGTCAATGCAGTTTTTAGTCTCATATTGATTGGAACAACACATAATGATTGACCCTGTGACATTATCGCCTTTGAATTTGAGTTGAATAAAAACAGGTTTTTTGTTTACTGTAGTTTCTTTGGGTATTTTATCTTTACGTTTTCCATATTTCTCAATAAATTTCGATGGGTATCCGTTATTCCTTAAACACTTTTTAACATTCATAACTTCCTCTTCTATTGTATCGGCAGTACATATTCTTTCTGTTCTGTGAAACAATGTTTTGACAAGTGCCTTTTTATAATTGATTGGACAAAAGCTGTTGAAATTGAGATAAATCCCATTCCATGTGTCTTTCTTATAAACTGAGCGTTGAACTATAATCCCTTCTTCGTTTCATCGCGATATCGAGAAAATGGAACTTGTTTTCTTTTCATGTTCCATAATGAAATGAATATTTGGATGAGCTTCATTGAAAAATTTTAGCAGATTTGTTGCTTGTTGTTGATTATTACATAAGATGAATGTATCATCAACATACCTCGAATAATACATCATTTCATCAACCGCTCCTTTGAGCTTGGTTCTTTCGAGTTTAGCGATGAAAATGTCTGCTAGAACAGGGCCTAACGGACTTCCCATTGCTACACCATCGGTTTGTTGGTATACAGTATTGTTGAATTGGAACTGAACATCTTTTGTACACATGAGTAATAGTCGTTTGAATTCTATTGCTGATAGAGTTAGGATGTCAGGGTGCTGACAAATTCTGTCTATGGTTTCAAGAAGTGATATTTTTGTAAACAATGATATCACATCATAATATTTTAGGTTTTCAGCAGCTGATGAGAACCTAACGAAATAAAATGAATTAATATTATTCTGCACCAACCTTTGTTCTTCCTCTCTTTAAAATAATAAAGGGAACTATGTTTATGAAACATATATCTTTATTGTATAATCGTTATGTAAATAAACTCTGCATATTCATTTTCCTCTTATTATAATCTTTATTTTAACCCATAGACTATTATTATACGATTTACCGTTCTGGAGTCCTGCCTAGTCTATTAATTACAGTCTCCCACACTCACAGACACTTCTGGCTAGATTGTGTAAAAATGTTATTTTCTATTTTTTGGTGCGATGTGCTATGTTTGATTTGTATATAAACTCAATATGTTTGAAATACATGATTCATATCGTAGAGGCTGAGATTAGTATTCTGGACATGACAGGGCTAGGCACGGAGAAGAACCGATAAAAACTTTAAACCGCTCGTACAGGTTTTATGCGTCATTGGTCCGGTCGATAATTCACATCTCTCTAATTGGCGGTATCACTACGTCATATATTGGTAAGGGCACAATGACATAATTTATAACAGGAAATTCCAAATATATTACACAAAAATGAATGTAAACGTTACCCCATTGTACGATGTCAGCAGTATAAAACAAAAAGACCTTGATTGACTCCAAGACTGGTGTGATGCATGGTTCCTCTCTCTTAATACCGAAAAATCCGGGTACGTGTATTTCGGCACGTTTAATCCGTAAATAAGCTGGCAGATGAACAACGTGGAATTCGGACAGCTAATTAGGATCTGCGATTTAAGAGTGAAATATTCCAAAAGTCTTTCATTAACCGAACAGCCCGTACACTCATTCGGTTTATGTGATGTTTGAATTAACTAATGATTCTTTTGTACTTGTTGAATGCTCGATTTCAAATTCCAAATACAATACATTCGTTTGTGCTTGTGTCTTACTTCTTAATTCAATTGCGTTAATTCTGGGATTCCTAGTTCATACTACAATTCAAATACTTTTGACATTATACTGGCGTCGCTATGGAGCCTGCAATGGAAAAGTTATATATTCATTCAATTTCTGAAGCTTTTGAGGATTATTTTGAAAGGTGCGAAATCTGGGCTGTGACCAAGGAAGATGATGAGGATGTTAATATGGTGGCACATTTCCTCACATTCATCGGAAAAGAATCATACAACTTATTAAGAACTCTGACTATGCCGGAAAAGCCTATCACGCTTCCTTATACAACTCTCAAGGAACTGCTGCTAGACTATGTTAATTATACAAATTTCGAAGGCGGTAAAGGAGGGAGATCTTGTAAAGTGATTCGTGAGGATATAAGAAATTCCACTACATTACTACGTCATCCCAACCCAGTGCATACTCAAGGCTATGCAAATAATTCATTGAGGAGTTGCAATGCATTTCACGAAGATGGGAACAAGTTTGGTCAATGTTTGTCCTGTGACAAGTTCCACTGTTTTAATTCATGCAAATTTCATAATTCTAAGTGCTTTGAATGTGGTGATACTGGACA